ACTTAATTCTGATGGCAGTTGGAATGAGATCAAAGTTCACAGATTATGTACTCTTAATATTGCATCTTTGATCTTGAATAATCCTTTCCCTGGTACTTTGGAGATGGATAGTCCCCTCTGGAAGAGATCACCTACTGGTTCTTTCATTGTTTCATCTGTGTATAACCTCATCCTTGGTGAGACTGAGAATGAGGAGGATTGGAATTGGTTATGAAGGATGCGAATACCCCAAAAACTCAAAGGCTTCCTTTGGACTGTGTTCCATGGGAAACTGCTTACAAATCAAATGAGATTAAAAAAGGGTTTGACTGATGATCCTAAATGCCCTAATTGTTGTGGGGTAGAGGATATGTCACACCTCTTTAGGGACTGTTTCAAAGCAAAGGAAGTGTGCCTAGCTATTTGTAATCAAAATTGGTATCGGGATATGATGAAGATGCCTTGGTTGGATTGGCTCAAGAGTAATGCTAAAAACAAAAAACTTTTTAACGACACCATCTCTTGGCAATCTGTTTTTACTATTTCTTTATGGAAAATTTGGAAGAATCGAAATTTAATGATTTTTGAACAAAAATCTACTCCAAGTCAAGAGAGTTTTAAATTTATTTTGGATTACTCAAGAGAGATTAACCAAGCATTCCTTCATTTTATATCCAAGACCAGACCTGCATTCAGAGTTATTAATTGGTGTCTTCCACCTGCAGGTAGACTAAAATTAAATACGGATAGCAGCAGTAGAGTTGGTGGCGATGGAGGATTTGAGGGCCTAATCAGAGATGAAAGAGGAACTTGGGTGTGTGGCAACTATGGAAAATTACACAGTGGAACCAGTTTAGAAGTTAAATTGTGGGCTGTATACAAAGGGTTGACTGTCATACTACAAAAAGGAATGAACCAAGTCATGATCGAGACCGATGCCGAACAGGTAGTGCAATTGCTACAAGAAGAACCAGGGGACAAATGCCCTTTCAAGAACATGGTGGAGGATGCCCAGATTCTTCTCATAGGGTGTGAATGCTCTGTGCAACATGTATGGAAAGAAGGCAATTTGTGTGCTGATCTTTTGGCAAAAATGGGAGCCAATCAACCTGAAGAAATACTGGTGATGAATGATCCACCAACTGAGTTAAGAGAGTTGCTTGTTGTTGATATGATAGGCTTGGGTAGAATGAGGACTTAGTTCCTCTTTTGTTGTTTTAATTCCGTTGTACCCAAAAAAAAAAGACAAGTGTTATTATATCAGTATTAAGAAAATTTCATAAAATTTATTGATTTGTATGACATGATTCTATTAAAAATGACCGATTCAATTAAGTTGGTTCATATATAATTGGTTATTTATATTTATTATGGTGAGTTTTGCTACAACCAATCACGTGATTCTCCCCCCAAAAAATCTACAAACTATTTTTAAAAAAATGTTTATATATAATGCGTTGGGTTGATTCGATTCTATCTAGTTGATTCTAAGCTTAGTTCTTTAACCCAAACCAATATATATTTATTAATGGTGCTATACACACCGATTACTATATTAATTAGTATATCAATTGCTGACACCATAAATAATAATAATAATAATAATAATAATAATAATATTAAAGCACATGGCACTTTTTTGATCAATCAGGAGTTAAGAGAAGTTACAAAGTTAGTGGTCTTGCATGGTGGAACATGGAAGACAAGGTGGAAAAAGTTAAAGCACATGAGAAGAATTTGATGGACAAAGTGACTTAGTGGAAAACATGGAGGGATATGTGGCATTGTAGGAATGAAGGTGGAAGAGTGAGTAGTTTTAGGTAGTTATCCAGTAGTTATTACTGGAATTTTTTTCCTATATATAACCATTGATGGCTACATTTACAGGACCTAGAACCAAATCCAAAAATCGGTCTATTGTACTTTACATTTTCCAATATTTACTTTCCAGATCCTTACATTCCTGTCCTTTATTTCCCGCACTTTATTTCAGTTTCTTAGGAGTAGTTCTAAGTTAGTCTGTTTATGCTGTAATCCCCTTCGAGGTTGTGGAAGTGTGAAAGTACATTTGTAAACATTGGTTTACTTAATGAAAATTATTTTCTGACACTGTTCTCTCCCTCTTTCTTTTACTTTTGTGATTAGTTCTTCTGAATTTTCTCCTAAAACAAGTCACCAGTAAAAGTCATTTTCATTGAGGCTAAAAGGATTACGAAGTAATTGTTTGATTAATTAGTTGGCATTTATTATTTTTGTAAGAACTTATTGATCCTTGCTGGCACGCTCTAATTACATTTTTAACTTTCGAAAGACAAAAAAGCCAAAACCAATACATACTATAGCAATACAATTTCAAAATTATGGATTTATCCATTATACAAATTACAAAGACTCAAAGCCAATAAAACTATGTAACATCATCTGTTAATACATTGATTACCATACCAACTAATACGTGTAGCTTTATTTTATATTTATAGATATTTTGTTTACCAAATGACATGGTGTGGGGACATATTTTGTGAATGACAACACATGGCCGAGGTGACGCCGGAGTGTCAGTCGAGGTGCCACGTGGCTTGGTCTTGACGCCGAGGTGATCTCGGCTAGACCGAAGTTATCTGTGGAGATGCCGGCATCCGAGATAAGCGGATAAGGGACAAGAGTCTTAGAACATGAGAGGACCTCAATTTGGATAAAGATAAAGCTCTTGGGAAGTTTATTCCTATCTAGCTGAAAGTCTAGGATGAGCATTGAGCCTGAGTCCACAAGGATCAGGTCAGCGCTGGCTATAAAAGCAAGGCACCCCCATGGGTTTTAGGTATGTGTAATATACTGTGAGCAGTAAGTTATTTCTTGTGAGTTAAGCACAGCTTGCTATCTTTGAGAGATATTCGATTACTGACTTGACCGTCGAAGTGCCCTCGGGTGGACGAACCACCGTTGAATTCTTTCCTTTTTGTGTCAGGTTGTTCGGGCTTAATCTATTCTGCTGGTGCTCTCCAGTTGAGTTCCCCATTTGGTTGTGTGGTCGGAAATCAACACCCACAATTCGGCGCCGTCTGTGGGAACGTAAAGAGAATAGATGGCCAACGACGGACAGAAAGAGAAGATTGGAGACGGCATCCCTAGTGGGAGTGGTAAACATGCCGATCCTAACATGGAGGAGGAAAATAGTGATGAAGGACCACGGGATTAGAATCCCGGCGAAAAGGACATCGACCAAGAGGCAGACGCACCAAAGAAAGCAGGCCGAGATGAGTATTATAACGAAAGCAACCTCCAGGTATGGAAAGATAGATACCTGAGGAGGAACGATGAGATAAAGGGAATGGAAAACAAGTTGGCAAAACTACAATCGGTTGTCAACTTCATGATGTAGAACAACGTCATGCAATCACCATTTTCATTGAAGGACACGTCAATTCTAGTGGCCAAGAACGACACCCAGAAAATGGGGCAGAAAGCAATCCCAACAGTCTATCAGCATAATAGGGTGAAAGAACACTCACATTGGCCTTCACGGGATGCCAGGCAAGAAGAGTCGGTGAGAGGAGAGTCTCAGAAGATGCCTCGTACCAAGGGAACTTATGTCAAAGAACAACGACACGTTTAGGAGAAGGAACTTTGCTTCGATACAGTGAATAAAAAGAAGTCCAAGAGGACACATAACGACACCGAAAGTTGCGCACCAAAAAGGCTAAAATCCATTGACAGTCGAGCTCCTGGTCTTACTAAGGAGGATTTGAGGACTTCCTCCAGAGAAAGCAACAAAACACCGAGGTCACATCCCCCGTCAAGCTGAGAACACCGTTTTCAGTGGAGTTGGATAGGTTTGAGGCCCCAAAAAGGTTCCATATGCCGAGGTTCCAAATATATGACAATAAGTCCGATCCAAACTTTCACGTCGACTTATATTTAAATTCAATGGCTTTGTATACCAAGAATAAACCGTTGTTATGCAAGGTTTTCCCTTCATCCTTTGGGGAAATCACTTCGGATTGGTTTCACAAGTTGTCGAAAGGAACTGTGAAGAGTTAGGAAGGCCTGGCCGAGATGTTTGTGGCTAGGTTTGTTGCAAACAAATTGCAGCCACTAAAGGTAGACTCCCTAATGGCTCTGAAAATTGGAGAGGGTGAAAGCCTCAAGGCTTATGCTAAAAGGCATTATGAGGTGTTCAACCGAATATCAGGATGCAACCAGGAGTTAGCGGTCGTGTCTTTTAAGAATGGCCTGCAGAATGATTGCACGCTTCGGAAGTCATTGGCAAAGACTCTACCAAAGAGTATGGAGGAGCTCATAGCAAGGATCGAGAAATATGCCAGAGCAGAAGAGGATACGCCAGTAACAAAGGCGCCGGTGCAGGAGAAGAGAAAAGGCTCGCCAAAGAGAGGCTGAGGTAATACTGTATTTAACAGGAAAGAATTAGGGCTGAGGGCTGCACAGGCAGTCACCACAGTATTTCGGATCCTGATTTATAAAGTTCTAGAAAGGATCAGGAACCAACCGTATTATAGAGTGCCGGAGAAGATTCTTGGCGAGTTTATAGAGAGAAGCCTTGGGAAGCACTATGCTTACTACAATAAGGATGGACACCTGACTCAGGGATGTAAAGCCCTGAAGATGCATTTGGAAGACCTGGTCAGACAAGGTCACTTGAGGGACCTAGTAAATGAGGCTAGAATGAGAGAAGAGCATGCGAGACTGCCCCAAGCATCGGCAACACCACCTCTACCATAACCACAGCAAGCAGAACCTTGGGTGATCAATGTGATCCACTCGAAGGTTAATGAGAATGATATACGAAAAGAGACCCAGAAGGTGATACACTTACAACATGTATATCAAGTCCAGCAAAAGAGACATAGGACAAACGAGTGCCAAGAGCCAATGGTGCCCTTATTGAGGAAGACTTAGACATGGTGCAACATCCACACAACAATGCTCTAGTAGTGATCCTTAAGATTGGGGAATGCTAGGTAAGGCACATTCTGATCGACCAAGGCAACTTTTGTGACATCATGTATATCCGATGTTACAAGGAGCTTGGCCTTCAACAAGATGATTTGGAGCAGTCCAACAGCCCAATGACCGGGTTCAATAGAACGCCGACATGGCCCCTGGGAGCAATAAATTTGGAGGTTCAAGCAGGCACCAGGAAGGTAAGCATAGAGTTTACAGTAATTGACACCCCCTCCTCCTACAATGTTATTTTGGAAAGACCATGGTTACCTATAATGAGAGTTATTCCCTTAACGTTGCACCAACTGTTGTGGTTCCCAACAGAGTATGGAATTGAAAAAGTTAGAAAGGATCAGGTGCAAGCAAAAAATTGCTCCATGGCAGCAATGAAATCTACCTGCAATATGAAAGAGATAGAAACAGCAGAAATTGAAGATGAGGGCATAGAAGTTATAAATGATGACGGCAAAACCAGCCAAGAAGAGTGAGGAAGCCTTGAAGAAAATTCTGGTCTAAGAAGGGGATAAAGAGCGCTTCTTCCTTCTCGGCTTAGGCTTGGCCGAGGATGAGGAAAGGGAGTTGGAAGCTTTCTTACGGGCCAACATAGAAGTATTTGCCTGGATGCCATACGAGATGCCAGGCATTGACCACGGGGTCACATGCCATATGCTCAATGTAGACAAGTCGGCTAAACCAGTCATCCAACGAGCGAGGAGGCCGACATTAATGCATGTTGAGGTCATTGAGGAGGAAGTGGAGAAATTGCTGGAAGCCAAAGCCATTCGCGAGGTGAACTATCCGACTTGGCTGTCTAACACTGTGGTAGTGAAAAAGAAGAACGGCAAATGGAGGGTTTGTGTTGATTTCACCAACCTGAACAAGGCTTGTCCCAAGGACAGTTTTCCGCTGCCCAAGATTAATCAGTTAGTAGACGCCACTTCAGGACATAAGATGATGAGCTTTCTAGATGCTTACAGGGGATACCACTATATACCAATGTATCCCCCTGATGAGGAGAAGACTGTATTTATTACCTCAAAAAGGCTATACTGCTACAGAGTGATGTCTTTCGGGTTGAAAAATGCAGGAGCAACCTACCAGAGATTAGTAACCAAGATGTTTAGAAATCTAATTGGCAAGACAGTAGAAGTGTACATTGATGACATGGTCGTGAAGACCAAAGAACCTGAGAATCATCGACTGACTTGAAAGTAATATTTGATATCCTGAGACTATATGGACTCCAACTCAATGCTTCGAAATGCGCATTCGGAGTTGGATCTGGTAAGTTCCTAGGATACTTGGTTACCAAAAAGGGGTATTGAGGTAAGTACAGACCAAATCATGGCCATCCTTGACTTGAAAAGCTCGACATCCGCAAAACAAGTACAAATGTTTACTGGAAGGGCCGCAACCCTGGATAGGTTTATCAACCGAAGTTCTGATAAGTGTAAACCATTTTTTAGTTTGTTAAAGAAAGCCACATATTTTTCGTGTACAGAGAAGTACGAAGTCACATTGGCCGAATTAAAAAAGTACCTAACAATAGCTTCGGTTTTGTCAAATCCAATTCTTGAAGAAGAATTGTTCCTATACTTGGCAGTTTCAGAGCATGCAGTAGGTGCAGTGATAATCAGAGAAGAGAAAGGAGAACAAAGGGTAGTATACTATGTGAGTAAAACCCTAGCAAGTGTAGAGACTACTTACCCCTGGAAAAGTTGACACTAGCTTTGGTGATGGCTTCAAAAAAACTAAATCACTACTTCCAAGCCCACAAGATTGTGGTACTAACTGAGCGTCCTTTGAAGTCCCTATTGCAGCAATGAGATCTGACAAGTAGGGTAGCCAGATAGGCAGTAATGTTGGGCCAATATAATTTAGAGTTTAGGCCCAGAACATCAATTAAGGGCCAGGTTTTGACCGACTTTGTGGTCAAGTTCACACCTGGTGCCATCCCATGTTGGACTCCAGTGAACTGTGGCTTAGGGTGCCCAGGAGAGTAAGAAGAAACCCAGCTGAGGCCAAAGAACCCCACTCAAGCAAAACAAAAGAAAGAAGATAAACTAAAGCCCTACGACATCTACATCGGCGACTTCTTCTACTTGTTTGTTGATGGAAGTTCAAACAGTCAAGGAGCAGGGACAAGAGTAGTATTAGTATCGCCAGATGGGCGAATGCTAGAACAATCTATTCGTTTGGAGTTTAAGGCCTCAAACAATGAAGCAGAGTATGAGGCACTGATTGTAGGGTTAAAGCTAGCAGCAGCAGTGGAAGCCGATGAGGTGGTAGTCTTCTGTGACTCCAAACTAATTGTGAATCAGGCAACAGACGAGTATGCAGCTCGAGATGAAAGAATGATAGCCTATGTTAAAGAAGTTATTAGACTGCTAGCATTGTTCCAAGATTGTCGGCTACAACAGGTTAGCTGAGATGATAACAGCCATGCCGATGCCTTGGCTAACCTGGCTAGTGCAATGAAATCAGGGGAGGCAAGGACAATAATGGTTGATTATTTATCAAGCTCAAGTGTAGAACCACTAATCACAGAGTACGAATCAATGTGTGTGGAGATAGATGTAATAGTGATGTTCCTTAGGGATGACAAGCTGCCAGATGACCGAAAAGAGGCACATAAGACCAGGTTGAAATCGGCCAGGTTTAGCCTAACAGCAGATAGCCATCTCTACATGAGATCCTTCACTGGTCCCCTTTTGAGATGTGTGCATCCCTCCCAACTTGAAGATTTCTTGTATGAAATACATGAAAGAGTATGTGGAAGCCATGTTGGGGCAGATCATTTGCTCATAGGGCCATTACTTAGGGGTACTGGTGGCCTTACATACAGAAGGATGCTGAAGCCTATGTCAGAAAATGTGATTAGTGTCAAAGGTTTGCACCTTTGATACATCAACCAATAACAGATTTGAACCCAATATCCATCTCTTGGCTATTTGCTCAGTGGGGCATGGATCTTGTTGGACAATTGCCCCAAGCAGCTGGGCAAAGGAAGTTTCTGCTAGTAGTAACTGACTACTTCACGAAGTGGGTGGAAGCTGAACCCCTTGCGAAGATTTGAGATATTGATGTGAAGAACTTCATATGCAAGAACATCATCACTAGGTTTGAGATCCCAAGGGCAATAGTAGCAGACAATGGTACATAATTTGACAGTAAACTAATCAAAAGCTTCTGTGCAAAGTACAAAAGTTAGAACTACTACTCTACTCCAAGTTTCCCTCAGAGCAATGGTCAAGTAGAAGTATCCAATAAGACTATCTTGGATGGGATCAAAAAGAGGCTGGAAGCAGCAAAGGGAAAATAGGTGGAAGAGCTGCCCAATGTACTTTAGGCATATCGGACTACGCTGAGAAGATCAACCGGGGAGTCTCCATTTGCCATGGCCTATGGCACTAAAGCAGTTATCCCACTAAAAGTCAGCATCATTAGGATCAAGACCCAGGGAGTAGAGAATTGGACTAATGAGGCCTCCCTAGCCCGAGATCTAGACTTACTGGAGAAGAAAAGAGAGAGAACAACAATTCGGTTGGGGGCATACCAGCAACAACTTGCTAGGGCTTACAACAAAAACGTTAACCCAAGAGAGTTTAAGGTTGGGGACCTCGTCCTGAGAAAGGTCATCGGCAACAAAAAGGATCCCATGGAGGAAAAACTTGGCCCAAACTGGGAGGAGCCTTATAAAATCATCTCGGTTGCCAGTAATGGGCATATTGGCTTGAAGTCACTGAGGGCAAAGCGTTGCCAAAACCTTGGAACACTAGCAACTTGAAGTTTTTTTATCATTAGTTTTTTGTTTTTGTAAAGTTTATGTCATAATTTTATTAGCTAAAGTAATAATAAAATGTTAGTTTGATTTTTGAATTTGAAATTTGTGCGATAGGACTAACTAATCCTATGGCGATGTTTCCGAATAAAACATGACAAATAACTTAGACTTATTATATGACAGAGTTGAATTATACTTGCATATAATAAAGTTGAACTAAATTGGCGATATTTCTACATGAAACATGACGAATAACTTAGACTTATTATATGGCAGAGTTGAATTATACTTGCATATAATAGAGTTGAACTAAGTTAGCGATGTTTCTGTATGAAACATGACGAATAACTTAGACTTATTATATGGCAGAGTTGAATTATACTTGCATATAATAGAGTTTAACTAAGTTGGCGATATTTCTGAATGAAACATGACGAATAACTTAGACTTATTATATGGCAGAGTTGAATTATACTTGCATATAATAGAGTTTAACTAAGTTGGCAATATTTCTGAATGAAACATGATGAATAACTTAGACTTATTATGTGGCAGAGTTGAATTATACTTGCATATAATAGAGTTGAATTAAGTTGAATTAACCGAAACTTGCCATGTCGGCAGAGTTAAACTCAGAATGGAACTAAGAAACCAAGGGTGAACACCTCAGTTAGTCTTTGTTTGAGTCTGACTTCGGCGACAAACGCATAATGTGAACTTAAATGGAACTAGGTTTACATTAGGGGACAGGAAGCAAGAATGATAAATTAACTTAAGAGCTTGGGACTTGTCGAAATTTTTTAGAAAAATTTACAAGTTAAAATGGGCTTAACACTTGTTGAAATTTCAGAGAAATTTACAAGTTGGAGTTAGCCGAGGTAATTATGAAAGATGTATCAGAGATACATATTACCCGAGGTGACCAACCAAGTTGTGAAGGTTGGAAGGGTGAAGTCTTGATAGAAAACAGTAAGTGGAAATGAAGGAGCAATACTTGACTAAATAAATTTAGAGAAACATCACTTGTAAAAAATATATATTCGAAATATTTTTTAAGTGTTAGCCGAGGTGTTTTCAAGTGTTGATCAAGACAAACAGTTAATATTCATATCCGAGGTACTTTACCCCGAAGTGATTACACAAGTTAAGGTGTATTTTGGAGGAATACAAAAAATATTCTAAGTATGAAAGCATGAAAGGCATAGAAGGAAAGCAATGAAGCATATATGAAGCAAAGCATTCAACACTTAGGGAAAAAGAAGGCAAACATTCATTCAGGAAAAACTTGTTCAGAAACAAAAAAGGTACTTTGTCCTGGCAAAAGGGATTACTTGTCTAAAAGTTACAGAAAATTACGAACTATCCAAAAGTAAAGATCAAAGTCAAAATTCCTAAGCAATGGAATTGTGGGTATTGGTTCCAGATTGCTCAACCTCGGTTGATGGCGTTGTGTCGGCCTCGATTGACAAGGTGGCTTCCTTCTCTGCCGCTATCTTGGCGTCAATTTCCAAAAGTGTTTGTTCTAAGCTTTTCTCAACTAGACTGACCTTGGCCTCAAAAGTTGTTTGTTTAGGAAAGGCAGCCTTGGAAACCAAGTCTTCTTCATCATGAGTCAAGTCCAAGACTTGATCATTCAATGTTGGAGACTTGGCCCCAACAGTAACCCCCTCATCTTTTTCGGCATCCTCTGCGTCGGTTTCCTCC